GACATAGCAAATCACACAAAAATTAGGTTGCTGTTTGAGAATTGTTACTTTCTATAATATCAAATAGTAATGCATAAGTAAGTAAATATTTGTCAAATAGCTTTAGTAGAGAAATAATGTACACAAAATTATACACAAATGTGTCTTTATCATTGAAAGTCTCTTCATATTTTCTCTCCATGAGTTTTGTAAAATGTGTCTTGAGGGAAAAGTGTAACCTGAAATCAAAGTGAACTATTATAGTGAAGTGTTTGACCATGGACAGTCTCATGTCAGAGACGATCATGTTAAGAAGACTTTCAGTCCAGACAGCTGCTTATTACAATAATCAATAAATGCCTTGTTTTATTAGCAGTTTTAAGTTAATGCAAGCGTCTTCACTCAGCTTAATCATTAAATTAATACCATCATAAATCGTCCAACACAACAAATCTATAATGAAATTTGTTGCCAACACTTTTAATAATCAAATCAGTTTTGTCAATTATTTGTTGCAGCATTTTTATTCAAAGAATGCTAATTTTATTATTATTATTCCTTCTCCCCAACTCAAAGACATGACTAATACCACAACAACGTAAAGAACGTCCTTAGAGACTCTTTATCCATATCTCCATCCTCCAAACAAATCAACACAAACTAATAAACTACTGAACAGTTTCATTTCTAAAGACATCCAAGCTTGAAAAACTTTACACAGACTATAAAAAAAAATCTGTATTTTTACTATCAAAACAGAATATTCCTTCTTTTCTAACCTGAAGCCTCATACCATATTTTTATGTTTTTATGATTTTTAAATCTTTTTACCTTGTATGTAATATCAAATGGTGCAACAGGCAAGTCAGTAGGGTTGGGCATAATCGTATCGTGTGCAATTAATCGTCAGAAAAACATTAATCGGTTATTTTTTGGCACTTGACGATCAATACAATTACAGTAATGCCACCAGGCAGATTGACTGGTAATTTCCCCGTTCGGTCTGGTCGTGATCCTCTCCACTTCAAATATGACGAACATAAAAAAAATAAATTCTGAAAMTGATTTATCTATCAACACAATTTAAAATTTGATGTATAGCCCGAAGTCTGTAATTTTGACAATTTGGAACAGATTTTTATGAAGAGCAAATCTTTCCCACTAAATTGGTCATGTGACCAGGACATAAGGATGTTCAGGGACTCCAGGGGATTAATCGCCAAATTAATCGTTATCGGCTAAATACCACAATTAATCATGAATAATTTTTTTGCCAATATCGCCCAACCCTATAAGTCAGTAAACCTGTCTTGTACGGGGAGATAAGCAGACCAGCTCACCACAGCTGTGGATCGGCARGGCTCATGGGGAGTCAACCCCGTGGAAAAACCTCAGAGTCCCTATAAGGTGTTCAGGTAGTTTCAGAGCTTTCCAGTAACTCCTGTGGTGCGTGGTGTTGCCTAACTCTACTGCATTCTGCCTTCTTTCTGATCACAGCAGCAGTGTGGAGATGAGGGACCTTCTGRTTGGGCATCAGCTGGTCCTTTGTTTTCCTGTCCAGACCTTATAGTTCCACTGGAGACCAGCTCKAGCTACACTGACGACGAGCCTCAGCTCTTGTATCAGATACAACAGAGAACGTCCCTCTAGAATCGGTCTGCTCAGCCACAAAGTGCAGACAGACGCTGACACCTGCACCGTCTCCCAGAGATGGATGGAGGCTGACGACTGTTAATCCTGTGTACCTTCACCTGCCTTGTGACTGGGGTCAAATATGGATATATGGGATAAGTGTGGACAAATTTTGATGCATACTAAGCTGCCAGGAAAAAAGGGAAAACAGTTTCACCTGAAACCTGAGAGGAAACACCTCAAACACTGAAAACCTAACAGGAAGTTATTAATACTGAAAATTAGGGCAGAGCAATAATTCAATAACATTATACTGTATATCACAATAGATACATGATCAATATCAATTGAAAATTTGTCCAATAGAATGTTGATAATTTCGCTGAACTTCAATCAAGAACCGCACAGCATTCTGGGGGATGTAGGCAGAGGAGAGGCTTTACTCCAGGCCTATTCAACTAAATTGCTCCAGTTACTGCACAGTTACTGCAGGTCAACAGCTGAGGGGCCGAATATCCAGCAATTAAAGTTATTATGTAAATAAACCAAGTATTACAAAGATCTCTTACCTTTGAATTAGTTTATTTTGCCGCATTTAATAATGAATACAACATACGGTGTCCCGATACCGATACCAGTATCGGTATCGGGTCCGATACCAGCATCAAGTACTCGTAAAAGCCGGCCGATACTCTTAACCGATACCGCTTTTGTCCCCTTTTTTGTTCCTCCTGTGCTGCGCTGCAGCACAAAGGGTAAACAACAATCCATACCAGGCGGGGGCGCTAACGCACTGACAAGTTATTTCCGACTGCACCCCGAACAACAGAAGAAGAACGATGAGAAGAAGAAGAAGAAGAAGTAACATATCAGCAGTTTGGAGA